ATTTCCACCGCACCCGCCACTGTCATTACCACCATTCATCCATCTATTTCTCTCTTATCTTCAGCCACTTCATCTTCTTCCTCACCATTGTCTTTTTCAAAAAAAAATTATTCTTCTTGAATTGAATTTCCTTCGGTATCCAAAACAAAAAGGAAGAAAATGGAGATACGTTCAGCTGCAAATCAAACAATTTAAATCTCTTTTTCAAAAATGAATAATTTCTTCTGAAAAAGCTTAATTCCACAATTAATTATGAAAGAGAAAAGGGATAGAAATGAAGAAATTGAAGAATGGTTCGATTTCAAACAAACAGTTTCAAAATCCCTTATTTAAAATTGAAAAATCTCTTCACAAACAGTTCAATTCCATCATTAATGATTGAATTTTCTTCAACTTTCTTTCCGAATCTGAGACGAAAAAAATGATAAAAAATGAAGAAATTAAATAAGAACATGTAATTTGCTATTTTATTTTTTTCTTTAAAAATGTATCTGCATTTATTTTTAGTTGAATTAAGAAAAACGATGGATTAAGCAACCGATAGTTGAATTAAGAAAAACGATGGATTAAGCAACCGGTAATGCTGACAATGAGTGGATGATAACAGTTTGAATAGAGCTTGCAGGGTAGGCGGACATGCCCTTTGTTTTCTTTCTCTTCTTTATAAAATTTTAATTATTATTTTAAATCAAAAATGCCATATGTACATCATTAATTCATCAATTTACCACGTCATCGTGAGTGTGTTACACACAGTTTTTACTTTTAGCTGATTGTTAAAAAATGTTCAAATGGTTCAGATTCAGGTAGAGGTGTTCAATAGGTATAAGGTTAAGTTGAGGTGTTCAAGTGAATTATCCGGACAACTTTAAGTGGCTGTGGATGACTTAAAATCTGTTCTGTATTAAAAGTAAATTATATATATGTATTATAATGTAGGGATAAGGGTTTGAAAAATACTCCAACTTTGGTCGGATTTGCTGTTGCGATACTAAACTTTCATAAGGACCTATTACCTCCCTGGACTATTTAATATCGTATATTTTGCCCCCCTGAACTATTTAATAGTGTATTTTAAAGGTATATATGTGCCCACGTGGACACACTACTATTTCTAATTTTGCATTATTTTTTATGTCCACGTGAGCAAATATATATGTTTAAAATACGGTATTAAATAGTCTAGGGAGGTAATAGGTCCTCATGAAAGTTTAGTATCGCAACAGCAAATCCGACCAAAGTTAGGGTATTTTTCAGACCATTATCCCTATAATGTATAAAATATGTTTGATACTTTATAAGTGTATTAAAGTGTGTGATAAATGTATTATTCATGAATAAAATTTGTATCATATATATTGTTATTTGTAACATGTATTAAACTGTATTATAAGTGTCCAGTGAATTGCGATCAATGATAAATATTAGTATTTAGTATTTGAATACACTAATATTTAAAAGTGAGCTAGAAAACAAACTATAAATTATTTTTTAATTTAAAACATAACGTAAAATTGATTTTAAATTCTCATCGGTTAAACATAAATTTTCAAATAGAATCAATTATTTCCTCTGTCTCAATTTATGTGGCACTTTACTTTTTTCGAGAGTCAAATAATTTAATTTTGACCGAAAATTTACACTTGAAATCTTCAATTTTTTTGAAAAGAAATTTATATATTTGTAAACTATGTAAAAAGTATTATAAGTCATAACAATTAATAACCCAAAATATATAAAAAGATTTTCAATCAAAAGAACTCCATAATAGAACTGTTTTGTTGAAGGTTGGATGGGAGGGATCCACAGTAAGTATCATTTAATCTCAAAGAAGCACATAGACAGATAAAGCAAGCAAAGGATAAATTTGTCTCAGAATTCCAGAAAAATCAAAAGAGCTACAGCAAGTTGAAAATCAAAAGCTGTAAAATAAAGTTAAATGACAAACGAACCCTCAAGGTTACATAGTAATTCAGGAAAGCACACACGTCGATCGAGACGTGCGTTCTTATTCCCTCTTATATATTAGTAGTATATATATATAATTATTGAAAATATTTAGTTACTTTCTTATAGCAGATTACAAATATAAATACAATTCTTCGCTCACAATATTGTTGAAAGGTTTAAGTTTTGAATTTGTATTTCAAGTTTCGACGTATAATATGATAACAATGAAATGATGAAAGTGAAAGTTTTGACATATATTATAATAACAATGAGATGATTAAAGGTTCAAGTTTTGGATTTATTTTTTGAGTCTTGACATCTAATATGATAACAATGAAATGATGAAAGGTTTAAGTTTTGGATTTACATTTCAAGTTTCAACGTCTAAGCAATGTTTTTTTTATGAGATAAACGGTATTACTTTTTGAATTAAGACATTCCCAATATTAGTTCTAACCAGTGTTTTAAAAAGCGGGGGCGTGAGCCAACTCGTTTTATACAGTATGGGACGAGGCGTAAGCTCCGGGACACGGGGCGTAAGTCTCATGATCTACGGGGCGTAGTATCATGTATATTCAATTTTATAGCTTTATTACTAATAAAATAAGCAAAAGTAAACCTTTCAATGATTTTACAAATAAATTTTTATAAATAACCTATATTATAATATGATTTTTACTTGAGATAAGTATTAATAATCAATAATGAAGAAAAAAAGTATTATAATTACTATTTGAGAAATATCATTACACCAATAATAAAAAATATGATTTAAAGCAAAAAAGGTTCAAAAAAAAATAAATTAAAAACGTCCGGCCCTACGTTTTTACGCCTAGGGCTTACCTTTTTATACCCACTACTCACGTTTTTATGCTCGAAATTTACGCCTCAAATTTTAAAACTTACGCCTTATGAATCTACGTCTTTAATTTACGCCCCGCTCCGAGACTCACTTGGTTTTGAAAACACTGGTCCTAACTGAATTTTTAAATATAATTTATAAAATATGTTGAGAACATTATCATTAATCTTTATTTCTAAATGTGAGTCGTATTACCGAATCCATCCAAACCTTCCGCCTCACTCTTAAAACCTAGACTAGATTTTCATCAACTCCTAATATTCAACACTTCCTTAATATCCTTTTGCAATGACAAATGTTTAATCTTTAACTAGACATAATAATTAAGCACAGAGATAATGAATTATCCAATTCGTTACTTTCTTGTTACTAATCATATATTTATATAGAGAGAGAATCCTAGGTCCGCCTACGTGGCGCCACCACAAATTAGGATTCCCTTTTAATTTATTTATTTTCAAAATTAGCATTTCCTTTCATGAAAAGTTGTGACTTTTATGAAAAAATGTGACTTTTACGAAGAGTTGCGACTTTTATGAAGAGTTGTCACTTTTATGAAGAGTTGCCACTTTTATAAAAAGTTGTGATTTTTATGAAAGACTATGACTTTTCCAAAGAGTTGCGACCTTTCCGATAAAGCACAATAAACATTCATTCACACTACCCTTTGTTGTCTATAAATAGAGGGATTTCCTCTAATTTTAAAACAACGAAAATTTAAACTTCTTCTTCTTCTTCTTCTGCACAATTAAATATTCGTGTACTTTGCTCCTGTTAAGTGGCTCACTGACACAATTATTTTTGTATCAATACACTGGTGAATAGAATCGTTCTATCGTGAGACGATCTATTCATTTAAACCTTGGGTACTAGAGGGGAATACTTTTCTTAAGAGGACAATGTGCATTCAGTGGGCTTGACTTTTTCCTTTATGTTTTATTTTATTATTACAGATCCTGATATGTTTTTTACAGTCATTAATTTATGCTTATGATATTAATTGTTGTTTTTGAGTAAATGTTTTAAACTTTGTTGTTTATGTTTATGCTTTTGATCATTATGTTGAAGTAAAGATATGTTAATCAAGAGTTTGATGTAATCAATACACTATTGGTGTCATGTAGATTAGAATACTTAAACTTGTAAAATAAATGACTTCGATCTTTATAGAGTTTTCAGTGGCTAAAAGATCCATGGGATGTCCAAGAATGGACTTTTAATTGTTCAAAAGTTATGGCGGTTCCACACTACCTTGGAGGTTTTGTTATTCAACTTTCTATCTTATCGATGCATACAATCGATTAGTGACATCCAAAAAATAAAGGAATGTAGTGAGATGGTAAGTATTGTACTCAACCTTAATCAAAAGTTTGGGGTTCAAATGTTGGATTGGAATCAACAAATTATCCCTCGAAGTAGGATGAATCCATATTAATCAAGTATTAAAGAAATAATTATCTCCTTAAAAACATTAGATTAAAAGTCGCAAAAAAATAAAGTTTTAACCATATTGATCGAAACATAAACAACAAAATATGCTTTTTTGGCTATCAAAGTAGTGTCATCGACTGCGAACGATTTTGAATAAGGGACTTGCCAAGATATCATTTATCCAAATATTTGAGCGACATACGTTATTTCATTGAACTCCAAGAGATGTGTTTTTAAATTTTAATTAACTTATCAAGTACACAACTAATTATATAAGATGTATAATAGTTAGATTTTGTATGTAGAGGCCTTGAATAGGAGAAAAACTCTCGCAATTGATGAATAAAATGTTTGTACCACTTTTGAAAATACAAATATAGAGAATGAAACAATTACATAGCTTTTCTAAAAACTTTGGTGATGAATAACTACAGTAAAATGAAGAATTGATAACAAAATGCATAAACACTTAGAATCAAATCTTTTTGGTTTTAAGATTAAAAAAATATTCCATTCATCTTTGGGTAAAATATTCTTGACAATTTATCATAGGGCTGTACCCACTCGAAAACACTTACATCAAATGTTCAGAAGTAGATTATTGACGTAGTTCAACACCGCGCGAAGCACGGCCAATTTACCTAGTACTCATATAATTTGTTCCACCTTCTATCCCGCATAAATTATACATAGATTCTCTTATAAATTAGGTAAGTAATAATTATGTAGGATTACAAAAAACGTAATCAAACACCGTATAAAAATAATAGATGAATAACTTTTACACAACATTTGAAAACCTACCAACCAAACATTGTATCAAAATTAATACATGAATAACTTTTTTCCTATTTCCAAACCAAACATGCTACATGAATAACCATGTTATTCATGTATTAGCTTTGGACTTATCGAGCTACCAAATTGTTTTCAAAAACATATATCATGAGGAAAAGTATTTCAAAAACATGCATCAATCATGTTTTAATAGTTGTAATGTACTTTGTGAGCATTGCAATAACATCAGGAGATACTTGGGAGGCTGCTTTCTTCAGATGTTGAATCTTTTGCTCTGTTTCTACCTCGAGCCTCTTTTCAGTTGAGTCTGAACTTCCACTGGTCTGTGTATGAATTCAATGAACAAATGAGGTATTTAATTGATCAAATGTCAACCTGAATATCCTAAGAGTTTAAAAACTAATTTGTAACGAGAAATATTAAATTTGTTTGTCTGGTTTTAACTTGATAAAAAGTTTAAGAAAGTAAAAGAGAAATTAAAACCTCAGATAGTTTCTGCTTGTATTCAGCTTCTAGATGGGAACGATAATTTGTCACTTCCATCTCAGCCTCTTCTTTTGCTTGCCTCAATCTTGTCGTTTTAACTGAAAAGTACCAAAACACATAAAAATCCTTACAAAGAAAAAACAGCTCAATTTCCAAAAATTTACCATTTCTTGCAGCATAAACAATTTGTTGGGCTTCCTGTTCAGCAGTTAGTAGCATTTGGATGCCTCCTTGTCCTCTCATTGAATCCATCGCCACTTCTAAGCCTCAATATGAAAGCGGTGGTAGAGTCAGAATTTTGTTCACTAAAAGTGTTCAATATATATATATATATTAATAATTAATTAATTTTAACCAGGTATAAATGGTGTAATCGTCAATCCAAAGGGGTTCACATAAAACTCTTACGCCTTTTTTGTGGAAAAAAAAATCTTGAACACAAAAAGGTAGATAAAAAATTGAACCTAAAAATGAAGACCAAGAAGAATAAAATCCGTCATAATCCACATCTCATCAAACTATTTGGTTGATAGGGCAACAGAAGAGTATATATATATATATATATATATATAATATACATGAAAGATTTGTAGAAAGACTGCTGCGGAAAAGATAAAATATACACAGATCTTATTCTACTGCAATTAATGTTTTATATTTCAACAAAAAAGTATGTTTATCGAATAAATAAAATATGTACCTAAAAATGATTGTATTAAAGCTTGGACCTGTAGAGAGTTTCTTTTATGAACAAACAAAGTTTGAATTTGGATATCAAAGGGAATAAGGACGGTTCAAATGAAAAAACATGGATCTGATTTTAATAGGATAAATTATAGGGTTCCTATTTATCATCCTTTGTCCTGGTAAATAGGATTCTTGTTGCAACATATGAAACAACTCGGTCAACAACCAAAATGTAATAAGCCACTTTGGCCTATTCATTGGGAAAAATACAAAAAAAAGTAGTTTTTTGTTTTCAAAATTAAAAAATGGCATTATAAAATAGGAGTTGTAATTGATCGTGAAATAAAATTGAGTCGTTTTTGAATTTGTGTGAGTAATTTAGAGTAAAATATTTTTTTTCCAGATATTATGGCCAACTATATTTTCCAGAGTTTAACTCCAAGAAAAAGTGAAAAAATTTAATGGCCAAATGTGTTGGGTATTTTTCTTAAGTTTCTTACAATAATTGAGTTTTCCATATTTGACTAGTTGAAAATATAATTCTCCATTCACAATGTGTGAGGAATTGTAGGAAAGAAAGTAAATACTTAATATAAAATAAAAATATTTTATAAATTGAGATATTTCATCAAATTATTTTATATCTTTCATACTCAATAACAACTATTTTGATAATATTATTTTTATCCTACCAATCAAATCATTCCGACCCTGAGGATGAAGTTTAGCGGTAAATCTAAATCGGGTTAATTGTTAGGAATTGTTGTTACCGAGTAAACTCGACAGAAACTCCATTTTCAACCTCACTCTTAAACCCTAGATTTTCAGCAGTCCCACATCACTCCAAAACCTTTCTTCTTCGTCAGCTCAAAGCTCAGCCAAACAATGGCAAATCGGCGATGCCTTCAAACCCTAACCCGTCATTTATCATACCTTCTCTCTCCAAACCCATCTCTTTGTTCACTCAATTCCATTTCCCCTCAAACACTAACCCCAGCACTGCTCAATTCCATCAACACACTAACTTCGTCTCCCAAATGCCCCCAAGTTAGCACTAAAATTTCATCTTTCCACCGGCATTTCTCTTCGAATCGACCGAGCAATAGCGACGACGAGGAAGAGGATGAAAGTGAAGACGAAACAGATTATGATGACGACGGTGATGATGACGTTGAGGGCTTGGAGTCGAATAGTGAGCCCGGTAGAGAGTACACTCCGGAGGAGAAAGAGCACGAGGCGGCAGAAATTGGGTATAAGGTGATCGGCCCACTTCAGAAATCGGACCGGGTTTTCAAACCATATGAACCCGTTTATGCTGTTATTCAGGTTCTCATTTCCTATCATTTTGCTGTTTCGTATATAGCTCAATCCTAAATTAGTTGGGTTTGGGATACACGAATCCTCAATATCCATTAAGCTGTTTTCTGACTGATAGGCATTGCTAAATGACACTGATCTCACATGAGCCAGCCTAAAAGGCATGGCCAAGTCCAGTCCAGTATTTTAGGGGAGGAAAATGTAGTGAAATAGACAATGAAGATGATATACATGTTGGGATAAAATGAAGTAGCTCTACTTTGTTGTTGAAGTTTTTGTAGCTGTATGAGGATTGAAGAGGTTTTCTGTGTGATGTAGATTGGTTCCCACCAGTTTAAAGTGAGCAATGGCGATTCCATTTTTGTGGAGAAACTGAAGTTCTGTGAAGTCAATGACAAGGTGAGTTTGGTTTTCACTTTCTGAATGTTGTGTAGAAAGTTGATGTCCTTTTGTTATAAACATTGTTAACTGAGGCATATCTTGGATTTTAAGTCAGTGGATGCATAGTACAACTGTAAATATATTTTAGAAAGAATTGGCTCAACTATAGCTGTAGTTCAAGTGGAGGATCCCTCTTCTTCATATTGTATCAATACTTACCTGCTAAATATTCCTTACAAAAATTAGAAGGTTGGGGGTTGATGCTGTCAAAGGTCAGGCTGAATTTTGATCCTGTTCATTTAAGCTCTCTTATTTGTTTAAGTAAGGGAAGGTGATGCTAATTATAGGCAGTAATTTGTAGCTTTATTGGCCTCATCCTGGGGATATGTTAGATGATGCAGAACTGATGAAGCATAAAATACTTCTTTTCTTACTGAACCTTCGGTAAGAGTCTGATAAACAGTATGACCTCTTATCGCAATGTGTTCTTTTGAGAAGTTTTATACTTACTATAATCCCCATTTTTTTTATCTATAATTTTTATTAATTAAAGAAACCTTTTTTTTTATAGAAGCAATGCAACTTTCTTCCTTATCCAAAAAAAGAAAAGAAGAAGAAGAAGCTATGCAGCTTTTCTTTAGTTATATAAAAAAAACATGCAACTAAGAAGAAAAATCTTGAAAATCATGCAAATAGTCCCTGTCGTTGACTTATTCTTTAAATCTTCACCTTTCTTTTAAAGGTGAAATATAAATGCATGTTACAGTTTTCCATATAGCTCTATTATACTGATTATAAAGTCTGGTAACCTTTTCTGTGATTCTGAAGACCCGCTCATGTCCTATTATGTGCCATGCCAAAAGTTCAGTATACCATATCAGTTGATCAGATTCTTTAGAAGAAGAGTCTACACGATGTAATATGTAGGTGTAATGATATTGGGAGGGTTCATGAGACTTTGTTCCAATGGAGAAGAATTAAGAAGTTTTTTATCATCAAAAAAAGGGTAATATACATTTTTGTTCTACAGTAAAAAGAAAAGAAAAAGGAAACTTGCATTCTGTTGTTGAAAATGAACATCTTTTGAGATGTGCTTGCTTAGAAGTCTTGGTTTCCCTTTAAAACTGTAATTGTTTTTTAAATCATAAGAATTTGTGGTTGCCCTTTGAAACTGATTCTTTTGATATGATTCCATACTAAAGCCCATCTTTTTGGTTTTCCAATTCTGTTAGAAATAACTACCAACATATTCATTCTTTACAAACAATCTTATGTCTCAGTTTTAACAAAAATAAATGAGAAACAACCTTATCACCAATAAGTATAGTATGGTTCGTGTTTTCTTGAGAGATTATTAGTTCTAATACAATCTGAAGCAAAGGTCTACTGTTCAGAAATGATGCAAGACCAAATGGGGAATCAATGTTGATCCATCTTGTGTTTTCTGCCATAGTCACTGTGAAACCAAGGGGTCATTTGTTTGTTGACTATGCTGAACTGCTCATACTAGAGAGTTATGGAACATATCGCACTGGCTTCACAGTCGAAGCTATTTAGCACACACATTGGATCATCACTTATAGTGAACTATTCAGAATGGAAAATGATACTCACAAGCAGCTCATATTTTTAAATTGATGTATGCTAAAACTGTTCATTCTATCTGGATAGTGAGAAAATCAGATAGTAGTATTTTAGAAGAAAGCAAGAGACTTGGGAAAGCATTGCTAGGGAGATAGCCTGCATACTCAACATCAGGGGAACTGTTAAAAATTGGAGTGCACTGCAGTATTTGCTTTTATAGTTTATTTATCTAGGTGTTGAGAGGGTATGTGTCCTAGTTTTTTCTGTGTCTGCTCAGGGACTACAAGATACCCTCCCTAGGAGGTGAGTTCCAAAGCCTTGAGTAAAGACATATACTTTGTATTTGTTTGTTAGGCTGGTCTGGACAACTTAATGAGTTAAGATTTAGCTGTGGTTTTGCCAATATTTACTTTGGTAAGTAATAAAGAAGTTAAATTACCATAAGGTTATTAGCTACATAATGTAGGATCGTATGGCCTGTGCTTGACCCTGATGAAGCTTGCTCTCTGGTTTTCCTTATCTACTTCTTTAGTTTGTGCCTGCTGTGTCTGACTGCCTTCTACTTGTGAGAAAATGCTTGTACATTGGAATCTCTGTTGTGTGAATATCTTTATCATAACAAGAACTTTGTTGACTCAATACATAATTTATCCTGCCATTGTTTTATTTTCAGTTGATTCTAAACAAGGTTCTGCTGCTGGGCTCAAAGACACAGACAATCATTGGCAGGCCTATATTGCCAGATGCAGCTGTTCATGCTGTAGTTGAGGAGCATGTAAGATAGTTGTGTCATGACTCTTACCTTTTTTTCAGCCACTTTGCATATTGATTTGTGGATTTTCTGATCCTCTCTGACTAGTATACTGTCATTCTCATATGCCTAAGCTTTGGTGGTCAGAGTTACCCGGTACTTTGAGAATAGGAGGTAGCAGGTACCCAAAAAAATAGTTGAAGTGTGCGTAAACTGGCGCGGTCATTAAAAAAAGATATACTCTCATTCTCGTAAAGTTTGGTTGGATATAGAAATTCCTCAAACCACTCTTTGATGCAAATTTTCAGGCTCCGAGCTTGGCTGTTTAACTTAGTTTAGTTAAGATAAAATATGTATATGTACAGCTTTATCTCAATTCAGATAGATTAAGAAATTTAATCTGTCCCTGTCTTGGTCCAGGCATTAGATGCTAAAGTACTGATATTCAAGAAGAAGAGACGAAAGAATTATCGACGAACACGAGGGCATCGACAGGTTAGTCATCTTTTCATCGATAAGAAGGTTAAAGAAATATGTTTGTTACTTTTAACTTGTCAACCTCTTTTCCTTTTTATTTTTTAGGAATTAACAAAGTTGAGGATTACGGATATTCAAGGAGTTGAAAAGCCTGAAGTGGCACCAATTCTCAAGACAGAGAAGAAAGATGCAAAGAAGGTAGCAGTAGCAGCTTAAAAATGGTGAGATGGTTAAAGAAAGCTGCTTGAGTAGGGGATTTTTGGCATATACAGCAGACACAGTCGGCATTTTCCATTCTCGTTTTCTCTTATAAATTTTGTGTTAGAACTCAGATGCCACATGAGGTCAGATGGAAGGGAATGAATTTGTTGTAGGCTTTAACATAGTCAAATCTTGAGGATGTGTATTTGGTTATGACAGAATATAGCTCATCAAAGCTAAAGAAAATAATATTTCTTGCTAAGGAGTATTTCCTACTCTTAAAGCAGTGCTGATTATTTCTCTTCTATTTGCTGTTACTTCCTTTCTCTAAGTAGTAGTCAGGCAGTAAATACCTACTGCACGCATTGAGTATTTACACTAAACCATGTTATCTTTGGTTTCTGCCTTGTATCAGCTTACACTGAATCTTTGGTTTTTGCATTGACTTGTATAAAACATTAGCATTGTTTTGTTCCAGTTTTATCGGATGTACCCAAAGGGACATATAACATTAGCATTGTGACCTTGATTGAGCTAAACCTGTAAAGCTGTTCTGGTAACAGAAATCAGAATAGGTCTAAATTTTTTCATATAATAGTTGCATTATAGTCTACAGACATGAAGTATCAATCATATTGCTTTGATCTTTTAAGTTCTAGATAATATTTGACAAACACATGTGGCATTATCAACATCTGATTGAGTAAGTTGGATAAACAGAGATTCAAACAGTAGCCACCACAGACATTTCCCAAGTCTACACTATCCCACTTGTTTTGATAAGAGAAAATGTTTGGTGTATGCAAAACCTAGCTTGCAGGTATATCTTCTTAGTTGACTCCAAAACAATACTTAAGATTAGGATGAACCATCTCTCTCTCTCTTCACTTTCTGTCACCTCTATGATATAGTAGTTCTTTTGCTCCACTTGTAAACTTTGCCCTACCATTTCTTTAAAGGCATCTTACTTTATCCCATGCAATTTTTCTTCATTTTCTTTGTTTCGATTATTATATTGGGTACGTTCAACTTTCAATTAGCCAAGGTATCACATAACATTATCCACCAAAATTTACACGAATGTGATTTTCTGTGCTAACTGGCTAAACAAGTTCATTGAACATCCCTTTCTAATCTTTGTAATCATATTTCCTCTTTAGAAACTCAAACTCTTATATAATCTCTCCTTGTTTATGATTAAGTTGTGCTCTTTAGAGCTAATGATTAAGCTTTTGGGATATAGCTTCCCCCATAAATACAAAAGTACTTGAAGTGGACCTTGATATATTTATTTATTTTACATTTTTTCTCTTTTTGAAAAAATAAGTGGATATCATTAGAGCTAGGTATTATTGATGAACAAATTAAAGCTAGGAAAGGAATAATAAGACCTCTTAGTGCTCCAATTTGTATTTTTTTTTTAAAAAAAAAGAACTAATAATGGAATCCTTTGTGTCAATATAAAATAGTCCCTCCCACTAACGACGACTCTATTAGCCTCCCACTCCACTCACAAAACTTCATTTTCATTAGCATGTGTAACCATATTCTACAGAAAATAAACATAATTAATATCTTAGTTGGTATCTATAATGTAGGACTATAATTTGGTAGTAAACGCTTTTTCTAGTGAGTTTTACATTATATGAATCTGAATCAGTCGGATCAATGAATACTGAACACCAGATGATCATACATCAAATTGGTCACTTACTAATCAATTGAAGAATAAATTACTTTGTGGCCATGAAGTTCATCCTTTTTCTATTCAATATCTCTATGGTGTAAAAAAAGAGTTAAAGAAAAATGAATAATTAAAATTTCTAAGTGGGCAATAACATACTATTATATAAATTTGTTTCCACTTAACTTTTTATGTATTCTTTCCAACTCAAGATTTGTATTTTATGATGGTAATGTATATGTGTTAGTGTCCTTTTGAGTTGTGGGTATAACTATATTGAAGTGATAGAATATTGTGAAAGAAGCAAAAATCTTGAAAAATTGACCAGTTGATCAACACCAAAAATTAAAACACATGGCATGAGCACTTTGTGCTTCTTTTTTCTGAATTAAAAAATGATTTTTTTTCTTTTTAAATTCTATAACATGACTTCCCACAAATAATAATGTTAATATGATCAAAGTGTTCATGGTCCACCATCTTTTCCTCCTTCCATTAACCTCTAACTAGGGGTGTACATGATCGGGTTGGTTCGGGTTTTTTAAATATCAAATCAAACCATTTGTGTCGAATTTTTAAATCTATAAACCAAACCAAACCAATAAAACTCAGGTTTTTCAACCTCGGGTTTTTTCGGATTTTTTCGGGTTTTTCGGATTTTCGGATTTTTCCGGTAAAGTATTCATACAAATATATAATTTACTTGTACTTCAAATATTTCTTTAGTCCTACCAAAATATAACTATCTAAGGTGTTTCTTAAGAAAATAACACAAAATATGATATGAGCAATGACACTAAAATATCCAACAAAATAATAATAATAATAATAATAATAATGAAATCACGTAAAACAAATATTGCAAATTAACAAGTCATAATGAAAATGATCATAATTTAAAAGTACTAAATCATGCTAAAATAAGTTTAATAAGTATTAGTTACATGACTAA